CAGTTCAGTTCATTCTTCATATGAATCAAAGTAATCTGAACTTTTTTTTAATACAGAAATAACACTTATCTCTGGATTCAACATATCAAAATAGAATCCTTAAACATTTTACACAGATTTCTTAATGGACCCAAATTAAATTAACCACTGAATTTAAATTCGATGAAACCTCCTAACAGCCTTAAATATCTCCTAATTAGGCTAATTAAAGGTGATAACAAGGTAGGATTCCCAATTAAAACCCAACCTTGACTCGCAGCACACCTCCCATCACGCAATACAGCGACGACGGCGGCGGCGGGGCGAGCAAGCCTGCATGGGGCCACCTGTAGCGCTGGGTTCTGCCAGACAGTGCGATGAAGGGGTATTTTAGGCTCTGTCTGCCTAAATGACTCATGGGCAACACGGCTGCCGTAACATACGCCATATCATAATTCTCGAAAATATGAACGGAGGCTTGTTACACTGTGGAATATGTTTCTCACCTGAATCCATGCACTGCTGGTTAATGGGATTTCATAAAATGACATTACATTTCCTGATGTAACTCTGTAATGACATTACTTTAATGAATTGCAGAGTTACCTCTGGAAGTGTTTTCATTTTTCAAAAGGGATCATCAAAATTTACATTCCTAGGTTTTTTCATCAGTTATACTGAGTGAGTGAGTGAGTTAAGATTTTTAGTCACATCGGGAATATTTCAGCCATAGCATCACTAAAACAAGTCATACATTGGTAAGAAATGAAGTTTTATTATAAAATCTGTCAGCAAAGTAAAACAACTAGAATATCACAGATAGAATGAAAACTAGCTTGCATATAACATTAAAATCAGTGACAGAGAATAGTTCTTAACAAGGTAGCATACAGTTTTCATCTTTTAATGAACATATCAAGGCAACAATTTACATTATATAGGATTTCCTCTTTATACACTGACATTCAGGTAATCACATGACTTTATAAGAAAAAGTTCTAAAACAATAAAGGAATTTTGATCTTCTAAAATTCTTTAAAATTTTGAATAATCTCCAAAAACATGGGATTCAGACAAACATCAGTCAACCATCATATTTATCTATTTAATGAACTCACTGGTATACTTTCATATATTCTATCCATATACTGCATTTATCTTTCATATGATGTACTTTTTCTCCATATGCTGTACAAAGAGCCACTTTCTACCTGATACTATCGGCCAGTCTACTTTCCATGGTGCAAACAAGCCCCAGACAGGCCCAAGGGCAGTATAGGAATTACATGAAACAGTGTACCAGGAATCTCCAAGTTGTACTGGGTACAGCCAGAAATACTGCTTTCTTTGGACAGGCTTCAGAAGAGAACTTGAATTCCACCTGCCTGGTCTATGTCAAAGCTATCCCGCCCTGCCAAGTCAGTGCTCTTACTCTACAACTAAACACTGCCATTCACACAGACTAGGTGCCAGTGTAAAACCACTTGTCCTGTACAGTAAGTTCATGATGTACAAATAGTGGCTTGTAATCAAGGGACACTTCTGTTACAGACATCTTATATGAGAGCTTTCTCCTACATAACACCTTGGTTACAGACATCATACATCAGATCTTTGTGCTACATACAAAATTAGTTTCTGACATCTTACATCAGATCTTTGTGCTACATAACACCTTGGTTACACACATCTTACATCAGATCCTTGAGCTACATAACACCTTGGTTACACACATCTTACATCAGATCCTTGAGCTACATAACACCTCGGTTACACACATCTTACATCAGATCCTTGAGCTACATAATACCTTAGTTACATACATCTTACATCAGATCCTTGTGCCACATAACACCTTGGTTACACACATCTTACATCAGATCCCTATGTTACATAACACCTTGGTTACACACATCTTACATGAGATCCTACATCATCAAGAACTATGTTTAAGCTGAGAAACTAACAAACTATGTTCAAACAGAATGAATCTCTGATGATAAAATCAACCAGAAGAATGAAGCAGATTAAAGATGAACTTATTCAAATATAGACTCCTACCACAAGCCGAGATAGCTCTGGGAGTTGTATGTGCTGCAAGCCAAATGTTAACTCTTTATTTCAGAAGATTCCACCATTGTGCCCCGAGACATGATGGGTAGTTTCATGTTCTATGTTCAAAGACCCTAATTACCTCGCTTGGGGCGCTCACAACATGATGTTTCAGCTCATCTCCTTGTCTCGGCCAACCCAATCCAAACCAAAAACATTTCTAATTCTAAACCTCAGTTTAAATAAAAAAAGATCCAGGTGTTTATTTTATAGAACATTCAGAAGATTTTGATAACATATGTTGAGCATTTTATCTCTTTAAATGTTGAGTGATGGTGACTGATATTCCCCAACTTTATGACCAAAACTGATAAGAACAATATTTATCAAATCCTAATATACTTCAACACTAACAATGTCAGGGAAAGTGGGTGATTCATGTAATTTCATTTGCAGCTAGAAGACGACTGAATGAATAATAATAATTTACCCATGTAAATATATTTCAACCAGGTACTCTTCTCTTTTGGTTGAAGAGGGACATTTCACAAATTTTTTCATAGTTTCCTGGCTGAGATATATGTAATCATATATTCACTTGGACAGGCTTGAAACTATGGAATGATAAACCTTCTGTCAAGTCAGTGTTAACTGTCACTCTGTCAAGAGATTTCTAGAGTTTCTACTGGGACAGAGACTCCACAAGATGCAGAAACTTGCATAATCTTTAAAGGTCTTTATGGAAGTGGGAGGCCAAGGTGTGTTCTCGCTACATTAGGACTGATACGATCCAGTACCATATTCAGTGAATCTCCCATCATGAATTCAATTTGTTTTTTCGATCACTAGAATTGATTATATTTATGACATTTTGTTAAAAGGAGAGGTTTTACTGGAATTTGGGTGTAATTTATCGAAGAAAGATATGCAAAATGGAATATATCCAAGCCAGGCAGGATAATTGTCAGTACCATTATATATTTAATTTGACAGAAATGTGGTCACTCATGGTGATTGTTGTGACAGATTAACATTTTCAACATGGTTAAAACATGTAAAAGATTATATTTTGTTATAGTTTCACTGAATAGTCCATTAACTGCTGACTTGTCACAGTCATCGAACCCACTCAGCCACCGCCGCATCCACAAAAATGCTGACTTGTTATGTATTTGTTACCCAAAATTCTTATTCTTTACCTAATATAAGTGGGAACTGTCATATTTGCCTAATAGTGTATTCCTTGCAGCCCTAGTGAGGTATCACTTCAGGGGGCAGAAAAGCAAGCGTTTGATGTCATGAACACCAATCTAGGTTCAGGTATAAGTGAACAGTGTTTTATACTGCTCTCAAAAATAGTCCATTCATAAGCCTGCAGCATGTAAATAATCAAGTCAACATTAGACAATCCAGTGATTGATATAATGAGCAATGAGGGTACAATGACATTCATTCAACCACTTTGGCTGACCTAACAATCCACTGAGTCATGTCTTCAGACAAGCATTAGCTGCTAGGACCAAAACCTGGAATTTCCATTGAATCAAACTGGTTACAAGAGCACCCAATCAGTCACTCTCAGGTCACACTGGAAACCTATTCTGACTCTGAATTTCCATGTGGATATATTATAATGGCAGTAGCAACAAGTTTTGTTGTCACAAACAGATAATAGTGTTCATACTGAAGCTATAAATTTTCCATATGGAAAAGCTCTGTGAAACATTGTCCATGATGCATACACCACGATGACATGTGCTGGACTTCCAAAGAAGACTAGAATTTAAAAGAAAAAAAAAATCTTTCCTAGGCAGATAACTCTTCCCCAGAAATAAGGCATACCACTAAACACAAACTGCATGGTTGCAGTAACATATAATAGAGCTTATTGGTGAGATTCTTTGTCCAGGGTGCCGTTGTACAAACAGACCTTAACGCTAAGGTGACCCTAACTTCCATACCTTAACATAGACTTAAGGTAGTCTTAGCGATAAGGTTGTTTTGTACAATGGCACCTTGGAATAAAAAGACAGAAGCATGTTTGAGTTCATTGTCTTACAGAACAACCTTCTCTGGTTGTAAGTTTACTGAGTCTGGGTTAAAGCCAATTCATAACATGGACCTTGCTGGCTGATGTGTGGAAACCTGCCATCGCACTAGATGTAGAACTGAGCCACTGTTCAACCTTGACTGAAGGCTAGGCACATTTCCAGCAGAGGTCCGGACCCAGTCGTCATCGCACTAGCAGACCAACACTGGATGAGAAGGTTTTGGTAGTCCAGATATTCCAAGATACAATGTTTCTGATTCAGTGCAACAAGATACACATTCATCACTTAATAGATCTGCTTGAGTCATGCTCTATAAACTTGACGTTGAGATACTCAGCAATATTCCTGCTGATGACAGCATATTCGTAACCAAGCCTGGACCAGACAAACTAGTGATTCACACTGTGAGCAACAATTCCTTCCATTGGCATACGAATCCATTGCATCTACTAATTTGGCTCTTATGACCAGCATAAATGCTCAGGTCCAATATTTTTATGGATTAAACTTCTTTTTTAATTTCTCTCACGACGTTTCGAGACCATTCCAGGTCCCTTCATCAGTTCATCAGTTCAGTGTAACACTGACCGATGTCTTTCAGTGGCATTTAGAAGTTGTACATTGATGTCCAAGATATTTTTATGGATTAAACTTCTTTTTTAATTTCTCTCACGACGTTTCGAGACCATTCCAGGTCCCTTCATCAGGTCGTGAGAGAAATTAAAAAAGAAGTTTAATCCATAAAAATATCTTGGACATCAATGTACAACTTCTAAATGCCACTGAAAGACATGAGTCTTTCTTGATCTTGCTCAGTTGGTCATAACCAAAAACAAGAATTCCTGTTAAGTACCAACCACCATGACAACCACATATTACAGACAAATACACAATGCACAATGAAAGAATGTGTCTTACCTTCCAATAGAAGTGTTGGTGTGTGATTGGTAAATCCTGAGATGTATTGTAGCCCCGTGATTTCCGTCGCCGTTTCATTGAGAGACTGAATAAGATCAAGCACTTCACGGGGCTCAATCTCTATGCTAAATCCTGCAACAAAACAGCAACATGTTAGAACATGATAGAACAATAACACTCACTAATGATCAGAGCTTGTGCTTCCAATTTTTGGTGTGATGTTCCCACAATCCAAGCATTTGGAGTTTCCGGGTAGATATATAAAGAGCACTCTACCAACATTTGGTCAGGAGTCTGAATGACAGCTTACTGATTGGTGAGTGAGTTTGCTTAGAAGGGTGTTTCAGATATATCATTCTGAGTTACTTGGTGACTAGATAGTGGTGCAGGTTTTATATATTTACCACTTAGGTGAAACAAGGAGCATAGGAATGGTGTCACAGACCTTGAGACATACTCAGGGTGAACCAGGCATACAAACACTAGCTGGCAATAGTCATAATGATTGTACACAATCTAAGGAAAAGCACTGACTAACACTGTAAAGGTCCTTGTGGTAATGATATTTTATGTGTGACTTATTGCTTGTCATGTGAATTATGTGACTATTAGTGTTGGGAATTGGTTAAAATCTCATAATTGTTCATTACCACCGATCAATCATCGAAAATAATTGGCTAGCGTCATTTATGAAATTTGTTAATGCACAAAAAATAAGGAAAAAAACGTAGTTATTTTTGGGTGTTTTGGCTAAATTTCACATCTTTAATCAAGGATGACTAGTATGTTAGGAACATAAATTTCTTGGTGTCTTTAAGATAAATTTAATCATGACTTGGAACGAGCTTGTAATGCTTATGAAATGTAACAGACAAAACCAACCCTGTGAAAAATATTGTTGATGAATTGTTGTGTTCGATTATGAAAAAACATGATCGATTGCTTGGTCGTTTAGTCACTGCGACCGATATTCGATTATTTAAATTAATCGGACCACCACTAGTGACTATAGTCCTGGGACTGCCAGTATGGTCTTACCCAGAAACTAGTTTGGATTAGTCTAGGTTTTCTTGAGGTCCAAGACTTACTAAACTGGACAATGTCTTGGTTGTGAATGATTGCAATTCTACACACTCAACACTGACCGGTGCAACCTGTTATCAGTGTATAGCAACACTGACCAGAGCAACCTGCTATCAGTGTATAGCAACACTGACCAGTGCAACCTGCTATCAGTGTATAGCAACACTGACCAGTGCAACCTGCTATCAGTGTATAGCAACACTGACCAGTGCAACCTGCTATCAGTGTAAAGCAACACTGACCAGTGCAACCTGCTATCAGTGTATAGCAACACTGACCAGTGCAACCTGCTATCAGTATATGGCAACAGTGACTGGTGCAACCTGCTATCAGTGTATAGCAACACTGACCAGTGCAACCTGCTATCAGTGTATAGCAACACTGACCAGTGCAACCTGCTACCAGTGTATAGCAACACTGACCGGTGCAACCTGCTATCAGTGTATACCAACACTGACCTGTGCAACCTGCTATCAGTGTATAGCAGCACTGACCAGTGCAACCTGCTATCAGTGTAAAGCAACACTGACCAGTGCAACCTGCTATCAGTGTATAGCAACACTGACCAGTGCAACCTGCTATCAGTGTATAGCAACACTGACCAGTGCAACCTGCTACCAGTGTATAGCAACACTGACCGGTGCAACCTGCTATCAGTGTATAGCAACACTGACCGGTGCAACCTGCTATCAGTGTATAGCAACACTGACATGTACATCTCATCAGAATACCAGCAATCTACTAATATATCGGAGAATATCATGGGGAAGTAATCTGACACTTTCATCCATTCCATCCTCATCCAGTAGATAAACTTTGAAACCAATGCATATGACTCTGTCTACAAGCAGGGGTGTAACAGTGGTGAGTACATCACCTGGGTCTCCTGCTTCATACAAGCAGGGGTGTAACAGTGGTGAGTACATCACCTGGGTCTACTGCTTCATACAAGAAGGGGTGTAACAGTGGTGAGTACATCACCTGGGTCTACTGCTTCATACAAGAAGGGGTGTAACAGTGGTGAGTACATCACCTGGGTCTACTGCTTCATACAAGAAGGGGTGTAACAGTGGTGAGTACATCACCTGGGTCTCCTGCTTCATACAAGAAGGGGTGTAACAGTGGTGAGTACATCACCTGGGTCTACTGCTTCATACAAGCAGGGGTGTAACAGTGGTGAGTACATCACCTGGGTCTACTGCTTCATACAAGCAGGGGTGTAACAGTGGTGAGTATATCACCTGGGTCTCCTGCTTCATACAAGCAGGGGTGTAACAGTGGTGAGTACATCACCTGGGTCTACTGCTTCATACAAGCAGGGGTGTAACAGTGGTGAGTACATCACCTGGGTCTACTGCTTCATACAAGAAGGGGTGTAACAGTGGTGAGTACATCACCTGGGTCTACTGCTTCATACAAGAAGGGGTGTAACAGTGGTGAGTACATCACCTGGGTCTACTGCTTCATACAAGAAGGGGGTGTAACAGTGGTGAGTACATCACCTGGGTCTACTGGGTCTACATACAAGCAGGGGTGTAACAGTGGTGAGTACATCACCTGGGTCTACTGCTTCATACAAGCAGGGGGTGTAACAGTGGTGAGTACATCACCTGGGTCTCCTGCTTCATACAAGCAGGGGGGTGTAACAGTGGTGAGTACATCACCTGGGTCTACTGCTTCATACAAGAAGGGGTGTAACAGTGGTGAGTACATCACCTGGGTCTACTGCTTCATACAAGAAGGGGTGGAACAGTGGTGAGTATATCACCTGGGTCTACTGCTTCATACAAGAAGGGGTCTAACAGTGGTGAGTACATCACCTGGGTCTACTGCTTCATACAAGAAGGGGTGTAACAGTGGTGAGTATATCACCTGGGTCTACTGCTTCATACAAGAAGGGGTGTAACAGTGGTGAGTACATCACCTGGGTCTACTGCTTCATACAAGCAGGGGTGTAACAGTGGTGAGTATATCACCTGGGTCTACTGCTTCATACAAGAAGGGGTCTAACAGTGGTGAGTACATCACCTGGGTCTACTGCTTCATACAAGAAGGGGTGTAACAGTGGTGAGTATATCACCTGGGTCTACTGCTTCATACAAGAAGGGCTGTAACAGTGGTGAGTACATCACCTGGGTCTACTGCTTCATACAAGAAGGGGTCTAACAGTGGTGAGGAACAGGAACACAAGAAGTAACAGTGACTTGAATGAAGCTGCATAAAAGGTAAGCAGTATCTTCCACACAAAGCTGCTGGAGAATACAACAGTGTTCTCACAATAAAGTATCAGATAATTGCAGATGTAGATGGGAAACAGAATGTGTGTAACACTATACAATAGTTCAACTTTGTCAAGAGTACAATAAATATGCTTCATAACTTTATAACAGTGTGTAATACATTACCTATGGCCACATATTAAAACAACTTCACCAGTGTACACCAACGTAAAATACTTCACCAGTGTAGCTCAATGTATAACATTTCACCAGTGTACAACAATGTAAAATACTTCACCAGTTACCTCAAGGTATAATGTTTCACCAGTGTACAACAATGTAAAATACTTCACCAGTGTACCTCAATGTATAATGTTTCACCAATGTACAACAATGTAAAATACTTCACCAGTGTACCTCAATGGATAATGTTTCACCAATGTACAACAATGCTAATACTTCACCAGTGTACAACAGTGTAAATACTTCATCAGTGTACAACAATGTAAAATACTTCACCAGGTACAACAGTGTTAATACTTCACCAGTGTACAACAGTGTTAATACTTCACCAGGTACAACAGTGTTAATACTTCATCAGTGTACAACAATGTAAAATACTTCACCAGTGTACAACAGTGTTAATACTTCACCAGTGTACAACAGTGTTAATGCTTCATCAGTGTACAACAATGTAAAATGCTTCACCAATGTACAACAGTGCTAATACTTCACCAGTGTACAACAGTGTTAATACTTCACCAGGTACAACAGTGTTAATACTTCATCAGTGTACAATGTAAAATACTTCAACAGTGTACAACAGTGTTAATACTTCACCAGTGTACAACAGTGTTAATACTTCACCAGTGTACAAGTGTTAATGCTTCACCAGTGTACAACAGTGCTAATACTTCACCAGTGTACAACAGTGTTAATACTTTATCAGTGTACAACAATGTAAAATACTTCACCAGTGTACAACAGTGTTAATGCTTCACCAGTGTACAACAGTGCTAATACTTTATCAGTGTACAACAATGTAAACTACTTCACCAGTTACCTCAAGGTATAATGTTTCACCAGTGTACAACAATGTAAAATACTTCACCAGTGTACTTGTATAATCAATGTAAAATACTCCACCAGTGTACAACAAATGTAAACAATGCTAATACTTCACCAGTGTACAACAGTGTAGTGTAAAATACTTCACCAGGTACAACAGTGTTAATACTTCACCAGTGTACAACAGTGTTAACAACAATGTAAAAAATACTTCACCAGTGTACAACAGTGTTAATACTTCACCAGTGTACAACAGTGTTAATACTTCACCAGTGTACAACAATGTAAATACTTCACCAGTGTACAACAGTGTTAATACTTCACCAGTGTACAACAGTGTTAATACTTCATCAGTGTACAACAATGTAAAATGCTTCACTTCACCAATGTACAACAGTGCTAATACTTCACCAGTGTACAACTTCAGTGTGCAACAGTGTTAATACTTCACCAGTGTACAACAGTGTTAATACTTCACCAGTGTACACCAGTGTACAACAGTGTTAATACTTCATCAGTGTACAACAATGTAAATACTTCACCAGTGTACAACAGTGCTAATGCTTCACCAGTGTACAACAGTGTTAATACTTCACCAGTGTACAACAGTGTAAAATACTTCACCAGTGTACAACAGTGTTAATACTTCACCAGTGCAGCAGTGTTCATCCAGTGTACAACAAAATAAATACTTCACCAGTGTACAACAGTGCTAATACTTCACCAGTGTACAACAGTGTGTGTACAACAAAATAATACTTC